ATATATATAGAAATAATCTTTATTAAAGTCTTTATTTTTTGCTAAAAGTGTGGAGTGCTAGATAGGATAGCACTAGGCTGAACATACCACAGACACCTCCTCTGGACTGACAAGACTGACAAGGCGCAAATACAGACACAGGCAGATACTGAGTGATCTGTTTGGCTGTTGCCGCTTTGTGATGCCGTCGCGCGCTGTGATTGGCTGAAGGTCACGACGCTGCGCACGCTGTCGCCGGGCAGAGCGGGGGATCGGAACTGCAGGCGCAGGACCGCGAGGCGCCGCTCGCCTGTGCGCCGCGCTGCAGCGCCTACGGCCCGGTACCAATTGATCCACGGACCGGTACCGGTCCGCGGCCCTGGGGTTGGGGACCACTGCATTACAGTATTGGTTTATGTTAAAAAATCTGAGGGTTTAATGTCACTTTAAGGACACCGTCGCTGTCAGCATCAGTGGTTGTTAGGGAAGCTGTCAGCTGTAGTCAACAGTGTCTTTAACATCCAGTGATGCTAGAAGTGGATGCAGCCTAATGGGGATACTGAGGTACTAGTTCCCCATCAGGTCCGCTCTGCTACTGAACGACAGCAGGCAGTGGGCAGATTCCATAGCCAATAGCAGGCATAATTACTGCCAGTTTCCCCATCTTTAAACTGTCAGTAATTCTTTTTAACTGTCGCTGAGGAGCATAGAGAATAAATACTTATTTCCTATGCTCCTCAGCTCCATCTAGTGGTTGTGATGTATCTGTACAACAGCACACTACATTTGAACTGGGAAACTCCATCTAGTGGCCATAATGTGTTATTTATAGCACTACAATTGAACTGGGAAAAATATATAGAGAACCTTAGTTTTTGGTATTATTTGCCCAAAACAAACATTCACAGATAATCAAAGGGTGAATACAAATTATAAATAGATCCCTTTAAAAAAGAGGCTAGGCAGATTTTATTTTGTGACAGTGCTATTTTAGAGTAGCTGAGAGGGAATGTATTATTGAAGTTTCCTAATAAATCTGCCCCGTTGCTCCTGCTTAGCATTGTCTAGCTGTGAGATGGAATTGATAAATGTCCCCCAGTGATTTTTGAATTAAATGGAATATCTCACTTTCCCCATTCAGGAAAAAAAAAGTATTCTTTCAAAAGCTAATTTCTTCACTCGCTGTTGTTTACCTTTGCTGTGCTTTGCTGTCACTCCTTTTGGCTGTCAGAGCCTAGGGTCTAAACCCTGTTTAAGCTCCATGTTGGACAGTGTCAGAGCTTACACAGTGTTAGTGACCTGCTTCTCTTAATCCCGTGGCAGTGTTTGAGCCTAGCCATTGGCCATGCAGGCACGAGCACTGCACCTTGAGAGGAGGAGGAGAAGGTGACATGTTACCTAATACACAGAAGCACTGAGAATTCCCCGTGGATCAGCAGGGGAGTATCATGTAGGTGAGTAATGATGTGCAGGGGCATAATTTCACCCAAACCCGTTGCACTGGAATCT